GGGCCACCCCATGTATTGTCAAACTCCACATAAACTTCCCACATATGTGCAGTACAACACAAAATGCTACAATACTCCAAACCCATTACATTCAGTTCAACAGGGGAGTGGTAAGACAGCTGTGTTCCTAAGAGGTCTCCCTGCTTAGATTTCAAGGTGAAGATTCTCTTGTGACACGTACAGATAAGCTCTGCTGAAACTGTACAACCCTGCACCCTATCATGCTGTTGTCTATGTTTCAGAAGGCCTGTTTTGTGGCAGTCAACATGAAAAAGTGTGGTCCATAGAGAGCATTAGCTGCTCAGCACCACTCAAGGCATCAGCTCTAATAGGTGGGATCCTAGTGAAGTTGGCATCCTGGTTATTTTAGACTCAAGAGTTTGTCAGATCGATGCAATCAACTGGTGCTTAGCGACTTGGAAACTAGAGGCAGAGGATTTGCAACAGACATCCTGCTTTTGGGATCCGTGTCTCCTGAAAGAGCAGAGGCCAAATACACTGGCCTTCAGGCCACACAGCAAAGCCCATGTATTTATTCATGTATTCCCTGCAGAAAAGAGCTATAGCAGTTGATGAGTTTGTGGTTTGAGATAGCTTGCCAGTTTATTTTAATAGATCACAAAACTGAGAATATGCCCAAACACACATTTCACAAGTATTTTCATTCGAATAGTTTGAGCATGCTTCAAAGCAAGTGCTATTTAGACAAAGGGAGCGAGTCCACAAGTCTCTCGGGGCTTGCCGTTTGTCTCCACAGACTCCAGACTACAGTACATTTGTTTATGCTGGGCAGAGCTCCAGCCAGAAGAGCTATTTGTTTCTGATGGAGCCCTGACTGTGTAGGGCCTTGAAAAGAACAGAATAAGTTGCTTTCTCTGCCCCAAACACACAGTCCAAGATCTACAGAAGGACAGAATGGAAAGACAAGAAAGGCAGTGAGCAGAAGGTAGGAGCTACATCTCCAACCTGACCCTCCTTCACCCCTTTGTTTGAGCTGCTGGAGCTGCACAACCACAAAGATGGACATTGCTACTAGCCTTCAGCCCCCTCCAGTTCTGAACCAGCACAGACCGCACATAATAAGAGTGAATTAGTCCAGCCCAGTACTACCACCTACAGAACAGTTTTCCAGGACTTTCCAGTCCAGCTACAAGAAAGGACAGATGGGTTTTGGCAAGCGTCAGTTCCTGCCAAGAGCTGGAGCTTTGCAGGAACTTTCTTCATTTGCAGGAAGAAACAGCCTGAATAACTACTTGTGGACACTTACTCCAAAGACTGCCTCCAACTTCATTTTTAAAAGTGGCTTAAGTTGAACAACAATCTTTGTCTAGAATAAATGTCCACATGAGGCTAACACACAAAATAGTTTCACTTCAATTCACTCCCCAGCTTGTTTTGCAGGCAAGTCTTTAAATATTTGTGCTCTTGAACAACCTAAGATGTTTTGTGTTCAAGCTCTACTTTTCATCGAACAGTCAATGGAAGCCTCAGACAGCCAAGGTAGACAAAAAAGCCCAGCCCCCCATAATGAAGGAATTAAATCCCTTACCCAGTGTTCTTCCTTCTTCTGAAGGGGATTTTCCACTAAGTCTTCCACATCCATTTTTCTCAGACTCTGACAAGCAAGCACATGAGGTCATTACTTTGAACTGTTCAGTGATTTCTTATCTTTCCAGTATAAATTACTAATGTTAATCTGAAAAGCTTAGAAGCCCCAAACACCCAAACTTTCAAATGCAAGCTACAATAAATTACTAATATGGTGCAGAGACAGTAGCCTTTCACATCATGGAAACAGACCTTCAGCTAGGTACTCCACTTCTAGTGCAATGGGAAGGTTAGTTCAGTATTAGGTTAGTGCATGAAGATAGAGGGAATAGCAGCTAAGGGGTGATCCCAAATGTACCTCTTTGGAGGTCTGGATGATGGTCACAAGCTCCTGAAGTTCCATATATTCAGTAAACAGACTCCTACAGGTCATTTCATAATGGCTAGTAGCCTCAGAAGGCCTCGACAAGTGCTCCTCACAGGCCTAAAAGAAGTGCAGCTATTTAAAAGAGATCTTGAAATGAAAAAAAAAAAAAAAACACAACAAACAACGTGGTAGGATGGAATAAAGCAAGATTCAGTTTTCTCAATCCATGGTTAAAAAAACATTTTCCCACAGCCCCTTTGTATCTTTTCTTTTTTTCTATTGCAAATGCAGAGGAACAAAGCAGCAAGATGTCCAATCTTATATGCACAATAATGTAAGTAGCTGTGTAATTTATACATCTTATTCTCCATAAGGTGTGCTCTGAAATAAGTACCTGGAAGGGAAAGCCTCCAGTCCAGAGAAAGCACAAAAAAACCACAGCAGGTGGAGTCACTCGCCCTGTTCTTTTCACCTGCCCTGATCAGACTGAGGGATGGGAATTTTCTCATACTTTTAAATTATGGTTGAGAGGAAAATATTTGAGTTGAAACATTGAAATCCCAGCTCCTGCAGAAACTGAATACTACAGACAAGTATCCATACACTTCCAGGTACTGAATTTGGAGACTATGTACAGAAGGATTTGGTAGACACAGCTGCGTGAGAGCCAGTCTCAGTCTTCCTTCTTAATTCTTTTCCCTAGGCACTTGCATGCACCTAAGATGGTTTTGCCTTTCCCCTCTGATGGGAAAGCCACGTGCTCCCTCTACGTCCTCTAACAAGCTACCCAGCTTTTTCCCAGAAATAGTCTCGCCCCTTGGTTAACAGCATTGTGCCACCAACTCCTCTAAAGCTGTTGTATTTGCTAAGAGGGAAGAAGGAAACCTTGATAACATCCTGTAAGGTGACTGCTGGTTTCACTGCCTCATCATCCAGTTTCAACATGAGGCACAGCAGTTTCTCCAAAGGATCACTCAGCTCTCGCTCCACTTGGCTGTCGATTCCCCAGTCCAGGGCTTCATAGATCACCACTCCCAAGTACTCCAACAGCTGCAGACAGAGACCAAGAAAGCAGTGCAGCACAAAGTGTTGCAGAGAACTTCCCAGCTCTCACTTCCCAGCCACACGTGTACCCACCACTGCCCCCTGGGGCTGAGCACATCTCTCAGGATGAGAAGGGCCTAAGAGGCAGCTAGCTGCTCATCAGGTAGCCTGAGATACTCCCTAAATAAGCTGTTTTAAGATTTTTTTCAAATGCCCTTATCTAGCACCCGTAAGTTAGCTGTTATTAAGACAAAAAGACTGTGGGCTGTTCCACAGTAGGCAGCATCTGTGCACATTGTTTCCCAATCTCATTGTCTTACTTGAGTTCAGTCCTAGCATTTTGTTTCATTTTCCAGATTACAGGGGACAGAGTCACTCCCACAGGGCACAGCAAATTTAAGCACCTTGATAGTTTCTAAAGACATCTGCATCTCCTGAGCTGGCCTTCTACTACAGCAGGGCTATATCGGCACATGTAACGAAGGTAAAGACACAGGCTTACCTTGTCCTCTGACTGCTGAATGCTGCCAACATCTGAAAGGGGGGAAAAAAAAAAAAGAGCAGAGGGGGAGAAAGATAACTGCATAGGCATTGATAAACAGCTTTTAGAATCCCTGTTGAAAGAGAAACAGAATGAATTCTTGGAAATAACAAATACCTCTGGCTAAGGTCAGTCCCACATTGGGAAAGTAGGCCTAGATTTGGGGACTCCTGGAAAGCAACACAGGATACTCTTCTCATTGTGAGCATTAGCCCCAAACTAACTGCTGCTGGATACTTTTTTTTGTTTGCTAATAGATATCTAACCACAAGGAAGGCACTGGACTTTTGTCTTTATTCTTTGTTTACCCGCTGTTGTCCCTGAGGAGTTAGCCTAGCATTGACCTCTACAGCAGTGCAATCAAGTGGTGCACAAAACAAGCTTGTGGCCACTTGCTGGCTACCCACAGCAACAAAAAAGGGAAACTGGCAATCACAGATCTGTCGTGAGAGTTACTGTAAAAAAGGAACCATACATTGAAAGAGGAACAGAGCAGGACATAGAATAAAGCCTCAGACTATTTATTTCAAATAACATTAGTGGTAATCCCAGCTATTCCCCAGAACCAAATGACTCACTAAAGCACTATTAGAAAAGTCAGTAGTATCTGTATTACCACTCCTCTACAGTCCTTTGAAAGCAGAATAGATTTGTGACAACACACAGGGGCAGGGGGGAAAAAAAAAAATTCCCACTTTGTCCCTGCATTTCAGCCTCTTACAGGAAGGAACAGCCTGTGGGATTCACAGCTACCTGTGCTCTTACCAGACTTGTGGTACACCTTGAAGGAAGCAGCACCATCAGCATGGATAAAGATGCTTCCAGGACCCTTTATGAATACAGAGTGGAGTGGTGGGCACAGCCCCTGAGCCAACTGTTCCATTTTAAGGCAACACTGAAAGCAGACAGCCCAGGCTTGCTCCTCGCTTATAGGATGTTCAAAACACCTCAGAATCTCAGCTAGAGAGACTTTTGTGATCCTCTGCTCACACCATGGAGGCTCCATTTTCACCTTTACCTCTCATCTCCACTCTTAGCCTAGGAAGCTTAACACCCCCCTTTCCAGGACAGGCAAGTGCTCATATCAGCCTTTTATCAGTTCTGCCTCCTGGTTTGCTCTCGCCTCTTTTTCCCACAGGTGTGATCATTAATGCTAATTTTGCTCTATCTTTTTAAAGGGACACCACTTTAATCTGTACACGTATGAGACTCCTTGAAAGAAAGCGTAAAGCATATAAAAAAATCCTGAATCTAAAGAGCATATGAGACTGTATAAAAATCATATTCAATTTAACTCCATTGTTTCTAACAAATACAGTGATTGGAATAGCAATCTTGGGAGGTAAGAAAAGAGTGCATTCAACTTCAGGCAGAGAGGGAAGGCAAGCAGGAAATAACGTCTTGTACTCAGGGGAGAAGAACTCTCAGAAGACCAAAAAATTCAATCCATTTGAAGGGAAACTATTCTGGGAGCACTAATATGTTACAGCAATCAACTCCACAGGGCACCTGTATGCACCACTAGCCCCACTCCTGCCTAGCTTTGACCCTTTGGCCCTGCCACAGCAAATCCCAACATCTGGGGCTGGGAGCACACGCAGGGACCAGGCAGGCCGTGTGGGCACACAGGGTAGGGCCAGCCAGGCCCTTCCTCATTCAAAGTGTGATATGAATCGCTACTGGTGTGAAGTAAGTTACCCAGCTCTTTTTGCACTTTGGGCTCTGTGTGTGTGTGATGGGTGGGGACAGTTGCATGGCTTGTAACTGGGGTCATCCCCTGAAGAACTCTGCTGCTGCTGTTGCAGTGCACTGTAACGCATAGTGGGGGACCTCAGCAGCTGCTGCTGCGCTGGCTGACACTGAAGAACTGCAAGGTTTAAAAAGTGTGAATAACACTCATAATTTGTATTTTTTCCCTCCTCACTTATGACATTTTGGGAATGCACCTCATGGAGAGGTGTCCAGGCCAGCAGGCCTTGCCATCACCAGGGCATGCAGCGGGTGCTCACAGGCAACATGTCACACCACAGCCGGGGGGCTCACGGCTGGGCGGTGTTTTCTGGGCTGCCCCATGGCCTTTACCCTGCTCCAGACATCAGCCAGGCCACAGTGCTCGGCCGGGCCCCTGAGAGGGGCGCAGGGGCCTGCCGGGCCGTGGGGCCGGGCGGTGCTCCACGGCTCAGCCCTGCCCGGC